AAAAATCCTGGACTTTCCCACCTGGCCAAATCTCTGGTGCTCACCTGAGGCTATAATCCCATTAATTGGCCTTTCATTGTGGCTACAGCCAATCTCCCAATTCTGTTACCTTTAACCTAGTCTAGCCCTCCATTGTCTTACCTCCCTATGGCCCCAGGCCACTTCCCACCCTTAATCCTATCTAGACTCCATTCTCTCTTGGCTGTGTGGTCCAAGTCCCTGGAATTCTATTACCTCATAGACTACTTGGCCACTTCTAGATCTCTCCCATAGTCTTTCTGTATTCCATCTAGCCACTGCTCAGATTCTTATAATCTAGCCAATAGCTCACTGATGACTGATGTTCTAATAAACCTTGTCTTTGGCTGGAAAAAAAAAAAGAAAAAAAATAATTTTCAGCTTTTTTTTTTTTTAAAAAACTTCCTTTTGTGTCTTCAAGGAATTCTTGGTAAACTTGTCCCAAAACCTGTATTTTTCCTTGAGGATTTGCTGCCAATCTTGTTAAGTCATTCTCTTCTTCTGGGTTTGTATCTTGAGCTTCCCTCTTATTCTTTAGGATTAGATTCCTTTTTGTTGTTGTCTGTTCATTCTTCTAGCCTACTTTTTAACTTTGGACTTAATGTTATGGGTAGGCTCTACGTACTTTTGGGGGGGAATGTTTGGTGTTAACTTCTGTCCTGAATCAGGATTTGAATGAACACTATTCTTCCTAACTCTAAGTCCAGAGTCTATATACTGCATCACTTATAATAAGTTATGGAAAGATAAGAGAGTAATCTCCACTGTTCTTAAATGCTTAGTAGGATGCACAGTCAGCTAAAAATAGCTTTAAAAAAACTTGTTTCATCTCATTCCTTCCCATTCTCACTCTGAATGAATTATATTATTGTCCTTTCCTAGTATGTTAAAGAACATAGAAATTGTAGGTCTGGAAAGAACCTTAGAGATCAATAATTCCCTACTTTTCTAAAAGAAGAAACTGAGGCACAAGGACTGAATTGAATTGCTTATGATAACTATGGTTTTGATGGGGTGCTTGTGTGCTTGTGTTTGGGTGCTTGTACTTGGACCCCAATTTCTCCCTAGCCTCAGAAACACTGTCCCTGACAGTTTCTTCCCAGCCCAAGGACATTGTACCTAGCAATTACTCATGAGTGGGCCCCAGCAAGACCCTTATCTCTTTCCCTGATGCAGTTCCAAACAGCACCTGAAGGAATTATTAGTTTGAACTGGCTTTGCACTGGGTCATAAAGACATTCTTACCCACTGGACTATCTCCTACCTCATTATCTATGTCCTCGGCTCCTCATTAACTGTATTCTAGGCTTAAGATACATGTATACTCCCTATATCTATCTTGTCAAACAAGACATTGATTGGTGGCAGACTGGACAACTCTCAGTTGTCCCTGACCACTAGTTAACTTAGTGATGTAGCAGGCCTAAAACCACACCTCCATGTGGCCCCCCTTGTGGGCTTTTCCTAGTGAACTCTGGGTAAAACACCTGCACAGTAGGTAAAAGAAGTGCATATTCTTTTAAGAACTGACCACTCCTTAACCACTCCTTAATACCACCCTGAATCACCTAGTTAGCATATTTGGCACATGTTTTATTGTATTTTATCGTATATAAACTTTAACTGTACCACTCTAAGATTGAAGGATCCTTAAGAATCCTTGCCTGCTGAAAAGTGTAACAATAAACTTTCTGTCACCTTGACTTAAAGAATGCTTGAGTCTGTGAATTCATTTCAGACGACCCATCATGTACTTCAGTCTTTGAGGGGTCACAACCTCTCAACCTCTCAAACCACAACAGTTTTCCAACCAAGTTTAGCTTTTTACATTACACCATGCTGCCTCCTTAATTTTCTAAACCTAAGAAAGATATTTTCACATAGAATTCATAATCTGTACTGATTCTTCAATGAAAAAATAATTAACTTAGATCTTTAAGTGGTGAGGATAATCTTTCTGGCAAAAGCTTTCTTATATCACCAGCTTTAAGTCAAAGTCCTAATATGTTAAATTAAAGATGAAAGTATATTGTATATTCTAGAGCTTTTAAAATATATACAAAGCTACCTTGTGAAGTTATTTTAAAATTTTGTTGTGTTCTTAAAATTAAAATGGACATTTTATCATAGTTCCCAAGAATATTGAAAAAACAAAATTCACTTTATATGTATGTGTGTATTTATTTACAGAATTTCAACAAGTGTGAGAGAATTAGAAAACTTCAGGAGCTTTTTGAATATTCATTGAAAAGAATGGACAATTTTGAATTGTGCTTATTTTGCTGAAAATAGTAGAAGTTTCTTCATATAGAATAATAGCAATGGAAGTCTGCTAAGGCTGACATTCATATAAAGTTATATTTTGTAAGAGGAGATCCAGATTGCTGTGATAAATTATTATACTTTGTTAAACTGAAACGTGGGTAAAAGTTTTTCTTCTGATATTGTTATGTAAAATTAAAAGCTTACTCTTGATTAAAATCTAGACTATGAATTTCCACAGAGTAAAACTTAGGTTAGGCTTTGATTAACTTATTTTGGAGCTACTTGGTATAATATCTAATGTAGTCTGTGAGCTAATTAATTTATTAAGCACTATTACGTCCCAGGCACTGCGTTAAGTACTGAAGATACAAAGAAAGGCAAAAACAAAACAAAAAAAGAAGCAGTCCCTGATCTCAAGGAGCTCACTAGTTTAATGAGGGAGACAACATGCAAATGACTATGTATAAGCAAGATATATACAGGATAAATTGAGGATGGTCTGAAAGGAAAAGAACTAAGGTTAAGAAGGACTGCAGAAGGTTTCTTGCAAAAGGTCGGACTTCAACTGAAACTTGTAAGAGTCAACATGGCAGAGAGGCCAGAGGACAGAGAAGGAGTCATGGGAGACAGCCAATTGGAAAAACCCTATTCTCTGGAAATGGAATGTTGTGTATGAGAAATAGCCAATAGGTCATTGTCACTGGATCACAGACTACACTGAAGGTATTAAGGTGTAAGAAGACTGGAAAATATGGCCCAGAAACTTCAGCGTAATTTATACTTACATTTTTCAATATACTTTTCCATAGATAAGGAAGACTGTTTTAATATTGTATTATATAGTAGGATTTGGGGGATACTTAAATGGTGATAACTGAAGCAATAAAATATATTGCTAACACCTTGTAAAAATTGATTAAACTTATGTACATGTGTATGTTATTTCTCAAATATTAAAATTGATTTAAAAATAATTATTCAATGATTTTTCTCAGGAAAAAGGATAAAAAATCTAGAGTTAGAATACTTTACATATTTTGAAGTTTAAATGCAACTATGTATTTGGAGTCATGAGATCTTAAACTTTATTTATGAAGATTACATGGAGTGATATATTTGACCATTTCTTTTTTTCCCCCCAGAATTGAAGCTTCTTTTACGAGGGCAACCTTTCTTAATACAATTATTAATGAGTCTTGTAACTATTGTAGAAACTACTGTTTGACAATTTAGAAACTTATTAATGGTACCTATGAAATGAAAACAAAGGACTTCTTCCTATCCAGTCTTTTTGTACTATATTATAGAGCAATGCAAATAAATAAAACATGCTATACAATGATGAGATTTTTAGTTTAATAATCAAGGAATAATTAAAATATTATCCAAACACTTACCAGGTGTTTGAAGCACTCAAGTGATTTTCTTATAATATCAAGTATAAAAGTATGGTTTTGTATATAGTTTACCATATGTGTTCAATTGTATTTTCAGTTCCCTAATACTTTAAATTCAATAGTTTGTATTTCAGGGAAACTTCATCTGTGTACTCCATTTGCCACCCCTCCCCCTCCACCAAATGCTGAGCAAGTCATATCTCTGCAAAGAGCACAAAACCACTTTTATTTTATCAGTAGTGCTTTGCTACATTTTAGTGAAATAACAAATAATACATTCATTGGCCACAGCTATACTTTTGCAACTAGCTTGCAAATGATTAACAGTGCTTCTCAGCATTGTAAACAAAAAAGAAAGGAAGGAAAGAAAAAGAAGGAAAGGATGGAAGAAAGAATAATAGAAAGCTATGCATATAAAAGCCAATTTTGAGCAACAAATTACAACAGTAAAAGTATAACTAGCCAAAATGAATGGTCAGAATTCCAAAATTAATAGCTCTCCATTAAAAAAAATTGTAAAAACTGGTACTGCTAGTCACATAGAATTTTATGCTTATAACAAGACTCATTTCCCAAATTCATGAATCAAAAGAAAGGTCTAAAATTGTCATGTGTTTCAGTGCAAAGTAAGCCACTAGCCCTGTGCTCTTTTGCAAACACTCTCTTCCTTCCTAACTATAATTAAAGTGCTCTTAGTGCTTTGGGATTCTTTAGCAAAAATCAGGCCAGAAGCTTAGATAGTTTATTTTATCTTTGGGGTTTTTTTGGAGGGAGGTGTGTGCAGGAAAAAACAATAAGATAAGAGTTCAGGTCTACTAGTTGGTGAAAAAAAACCAAGATTCTGAAACAATTTGGGCAAGTCAAACTAAAATAGCTGGAAGAGCCAAGGTATTTAATATCAGAAATATTTTTCTTTTCAAAAAGTCTTTTAATGTTTTGCTGGTAAAATGGCCTTATCTTGGGAAATCCAAACAGAATGAATTTACTCTTAGACCAGGGAATGAACAAATAACAAATATTTTTAGTCAATGGTGGATGGATTATAATATAGTTTAAATTAGCAACATTTTAAAAAGAAGTATTCCAATAATTTGTGTTGACAAAATACTTTACATGCAAATGTTAAATTGCTACATGTTTTATAGTGGAGAAATCAGTTAATGGAAAATTTTGAAGCACAAACATTTCTATCATTGGATTTTCTAACACTAAATAGCCTTTTTTTTTTTTTGGTGAGGCAATTGGGGTTAAATGACTTGCCCAGGGTCACACAGCTAGTCAAGTTCAAATGTCTGAGGGCAGATTTGAACTCAGGTCCTCCTAACTCCAAGGCTGGAGCTCTATCCTCTGTGCCACCTAGCTGCCCCACTAAATAGCCTTTTTAATCATAGCTACAGCTTTTTATACCTATGTTTGAATTAAAAGTCATATCTGCACCATAAGAAGTTTATTCAGCTATGTATAAGTAGCCTACTCGACAATTTAAAACAAAGACTTCATTTTCCTTTTGGTTAAACCTCTAGTAACATTACTATTTCAGTGAGGTTATTGTATCAATATTAATTAAAATACCTTTCAATTTTTAATGAAATTAAATTGAACTTCCCACACAGTACTGGAGAGGAAAAGCATTCCAATGCTTTTCCCCCCCAATATTAGTTTCTTTTTCTTTTTCTTTTTTTTTAAGGCAGCAGAAAGCAGTTGATAGCTTTTAACATGTAGTGGCAATTCTCCCAATCTAAATTGCTGGGTATTTTCTAGTACCTACTGTTGTTATTGTTGTTTCCTCTATAGATACACTTTTAAAAAGTGCATTTTAAAATTCTATTATAAAATTAACCTATCCTCACTATCAATTTTTTTTCAAATTTAGGAGAGGGCATGAAGAAAATGAAATTTAGTTTAAAAAATAAAGCATCTTCTTAAACATTCTCAAGCCACTTTTAAAAATCCAATACATTTACTGTACACACACATTTATTATCTCATGTTTGACATTATTATCTCTGTACACACATTTTTATTATCTCGTGTTTAACATCGCACGTATAGAAGATATATAAAAATCTGAACACCATATGCTAAAAATTTGAAGCAATACATGTTCTGAAGTACTGCACTTATGTTTACCATGCTAATCAATCATGATTTCATATACATGAAGATAATCCCATTACTGATAATTAGTTCCTCTGATTACATTAATCCAAGATAATTGTTTCAAAAGTTATTGTAGCCCTAACCTATAACATTAAAAAAAACCCTAAACAATTAGAATTGTTTATTTTGTGAACAACATCTATGAGCTTGTTTGGCTCCAAGAATTTCTACCATTCTTAGGTTCAAATTCACTATTCCTTTTCTGAAGAAACTAGCTTTCAAGTACTCCATATAGAATGAAATCATGTTACTGCAAAAGAATGTCTTGACCAAGAACTCTAGTCAGAGTATTAATTAGCTAGTTTTGCCTAATAAGAATTGACAATTACCTCTTATTAACTGTTAGTCACCACAGTATTACAGTTAATATGACAATTATAAATACTTTCAAGAAAATTTTGGTTAGTGTTTTAGAATTCATTTTAAAAAGACTATTTCTTTAGAAAACAATACTTCTAGCATGTATTTTTAAAGTTTTGAACTATTGTGCTTGAACTCAATTTATGTCCTAATTAATTTTGCAGTTCCGTACAGAGAACATCACTGAGTACATAATACATAATTTTGATACAGAAATTGTTCAAGGACTTGTTGATAAGTACTGCTGCCAATTATACTTATCAACATCAGAGATATTTTAATAACCAGTTTATTATATGGTTAGAGCAAAGATTTTGTTCACAAAAATCAATGAGCCATGAATAGCATTTTCAGAAACCTTGTATAGGTTTTAGTTACAAGTCAGGATGATTACAGTGGAGTTTTGCAGAGGGCAAAAGAGGAAGTTAAAGATTTACACTTCAAAAAATGGGTAGCACAAAGGAAAGATCTATATCAAATAAAACAGGAAACTAGCTAGGAAACACAAACTATAGCTGATATGATAATCTGGAACTTTGTTGATAGAAAGAAAGAAAGAGCAGGAACTAACCAGGTAGCACCAGGGCTATAGTTGATGTCTCAGCTTGATTTTGTGGGTTCTAGCTAGTTGTATGACTTGCTTTCAAAAGGAAATGGTGGTACTGAAGCCAATACTAAAACTTTCTTATGACACTGATCTTCTCAGAAAGATTGTTGCCCAGGTTTGGTGTACAGTAAAACAAAGCAATTAGAACACTAGAATATTATTTTTGAGATTATTGTTTATTCCTCCAGAGTATGACAAAAAAAGTGCAAATACGCATTTTATGTTTCTAAAATCAGGAAATTCCAGGGCCCTTATTTTATCTCCAACTCTAAAGTTTCAATTCTACTTAATTTATAATGAAGAGATCATGAGTAATGGTTTTGTCTTCCATTTATACAAGTAATTCTAGCTTTATTTTTTTCCTTAGTTATAAAAGGTAATGGATACTAATGTGGATAAAGCCAAAATACTTAGAAAATACAAACTCATGAAAACCACTTTAGGAATATGGATTTTGGTGGTGTTATCAGTTTTGTGGAGTTGAATATAAGGTATGGTGATTGTTCATATCTAAATTACCACAAGGAAAGAGCAAAGGAGCAGAATCTGATGTTGGTCCATTCAGATGAGGATTGACTATGAAACTGTTGCTGCCACTTCCAGTTATGGTTCCATACCAACCCAATCCTTGTGAATTAGATAAACTGAAACAACAACAACGACAAAATTCAAACTATGCCTAGGACATAATTAAAGTAGTCATTATTTAAAAAAAAAGATTTTCAATTAACTTTAATATTTAGTTTCAGTGATCCAGAATTTCATGTTCCCACTTAAAACTTTCCCACCAGCTCCAACAATGAAGTTTATTAAGAATTTAATGGATTTTTGGACTGAAATTATTCTGTAGCATATAATTCATTTATGCCTTTGTTATCTTATTTACAGTAATCTGACTTTAAAAAGAAAATACCTCCAGAAGAAATGTAAAATAAACTTTATTTGCTAATAATGATTACTAAAGTCCAAAACAAATTCAAAGAAATACTTAATCACCTATTGCATGCAGAGGTAAAAGCAAGTTTAGATAAGGGCCCTCATGGAGTAGTTTCCCCTGTCTGAACAAGTAATCATAGTTCACATAAGGATTTCCAAAGGATCCCACAATCCCTCCAGAAATAGGTTTGGGACCTTTTCCTGAGGTCATAGGAGGTCTATTTCTTGATTCTTCAATGGATTTTGAGTTACACTGAAGATGTGGATACATATATGTTTATAATGAGTGAGGCAGTACACCTTGAATGACTAAGGATCTAGAAGATAATTTCCCAGATCTCCCATCCAGGCTTGTAGAATCAAGGGTAAAGGCAGGAAGGAATGAAGAAGGATAGCTTTCAATGGTGCTTATGTCCATTGCTTTAAGCTCTTCAATAAATCATAGCTTCTACTTTATATACTATTTCTTGGATTTTGACATATGACTACTACACTATCATCTAAGGTTTAAGGGTCAGAAATTCTTTCTTCAAAATTAAGAGCTGTTAATAATTGATTCAACAGAACATTAATTGACTTTGGTCACATCTACCTTCCTTTTCTTGAGCCTCCAAGTCTTGACAAGTCATCATCACTATCATACCGTCTTGGATTGTCAAAAAAGTAAGCTCTGGAAGTATAACTGTGACTATTTACAATACCATCAGGAGCCTGTGAACAAAAGGACATATGAAAAAAAAAACCAAGCGTGCCAAAATTGTCTTCATTTCAAGTTACAACAAAGGAGGCTGACACTTGAGACTATATTAAAGCTTTTTGAACTCGCACATAGAAAAACATCATGATTTTTAAAAGAAGTGTAGGTATTTTAAGAAGTTTTATAATATCCTACCAAATTCTGGTTTGGCTTCTGTGCTCTGAAAAACAGCACCATTGACCAGGCTGGTATATGTTCCCACAAAAAGAGGATCATGCCAAACACTATATATTCTTCTTCACTGATGTCTTCCACATGATTCTGCAAGTACATAGTATGTTAAAATACTTTTGTCCCATTTGCAAAATGTCCATTATGATGAAATTGCCTCAGATTGGGCATAGGTACCAATTGAAAAAAATTTAATGCACTAAGAAAGCAATTAGAAGTACATAAACAAATGAAATCACTTTTAATGGTCATCCATGTGATATCTGCAATGTACATAAATGTTAAATGTTTTTATTTTGCTAACATCTAGTTAAGAACAATTCATTTGCAACTATGTTGATTTCAGTAAAAAATTTTTTTGAAAAAGAAAGAAAATGTCTTCAGAGAAACCTCACCTTTTAGATCTGGTATATAATCACTTTGGACTGAAAGGCAGAGTTGTTATAACAAGTATTCCAGATGGTACACAGAAAAAAATAATTGGATACCTTTATTTGCATGAGCAAGAACAAGTATTAACATTAAAAATAGTTGCACTTAGTATTCTGGCCAGCTACTCCATTTTGTTGCTCATTTTTCATTCTATCAGTGGTACATAATGGAGAATGGAAACACAAGGTACCATAGCTCTGGTAATTTCTATCCCTTAAAACAACGATTCATAACTGTGTTTAAAGAATACACAAGTATCTCCAACTTTCTAAATGCTATCTCTAAAAGACTGATCTACATGTGAGATAAAGTCGTATCATATAGTATCACTCAGGAGAATTAGAACAACATTTGCATGATGATTACCAGTTACCAAGGTACGGGCTTAGTGCAGTGTAATATTTTGCATTTTGTTTTTATAACCCTATTACCTAGAATAGTATGTTGCATATAGTAAACACTTAAACTCTCATTTGAATTGTAGAATGTTAGAATTGGGATAACTGTACTAAGTATTGATGGCCAAGGAAATATGTTTCTTTTCATTATTGAGGTTGAAAACTGTAGAATTTGACCAATATTGTCCCTTTAAAATTGTAATTTTCAACCAAGCGGTCAAGTTATATAGCAGTGCTGAATGGATATTCAGCAAAAGATTCAATTTTACTTTAAGATATGAGATAAAAAAGGATTGAAGACTTTATTAAAATAAAAGATAGCTTGATTGCTAATATCCAGATGCTAGTAATATTTATTCAAAAGAAATATGTCTAGAAACCTTTCTAAAAATGATTTAATAAGTCATAAACGCATGTGACAGGAAATTTAGTAATAAATTAAGCAGAATTAATAATAGCATTTAACATCTAGCATTTATACCCAAATTAAAGTTTATTTTATTTCTATGGGCTTAAATTAGCAATGCACATTATGGAATTACCTTTTCTGAAAGAGTATCCCATCTATAGTCAAATGGGCTTTCTATAGCATCCTGAGATAGAGTAATCAGCACCAAATTACAACAAGCTCTTGAGGAATAGAGAAGAATGAATATTGAGCCCACTGTGACAGTCTGACACATAGATGTTCCCTAAAAGAGATAAAAACCATGATGTCAAAGTTATAAATGAACTTAAATGATTAATTATTATATAGATACAGTATATAGTTAAGTATTGTGCCAGGTACATAGTAAGCAAAGGATTAACTGTTGAAACTTACTGAATTGAACTGAATAATTAATTTATGAAAATGTATGGATATATTTTGTTTTGACACAACTGATATTTCTCAAATAATCCCACATAACAGTATCAATTATTAACAGAAAGAATAATGTGGTACTAGTTGGTTAGATTTCAGTTTCATTATTTCTCAATGTTAACTTTGTATTATATTATATTATTATATTTGACACTGTCATTTACTCTAAGCACTTTTTTTTTCTTGATGAGGAAAATTTGAATATTGCTCACCTAAAAATTTACTTCCTTGTCCAAGATAGAGGTGGATTTGTAGAAAAAACTGGAACTCTATTTTAAAAGATTCTTTCCATCAGTATAAGGGGTGAGGATGTTCCTTTCTCAACACAGAATGAATCAAAGGACAAGATGGGGAATAGTTGGGTATTTACAGGCTAATTGCATTACTTTGAAGTGTTGTGAAATTCCATTTAGATGTACATATTGAAATTAGATCTTTCAGAACAAAAATAATTCTTATATTACCCTAAGTTTGGCTCACCCATGCTACTTATTCTCCTCACTAAGTTTACAAATAGTTCCTGTTATATGTATCACATTCTAACTTGGGGACTTAGACTATCCCTAAAACATTTCAATTAGAAATTCACCTGGCAGTGTAAAATTTCCTCTATTTTCTAAGGGCAGAAAGACCTATTTTTGATAGTCATTGGAAGCATTTTAGAAAGCGGTTATTTATGGAGATGAAGGAAAACATTTAGGAAGTTGCAAAATGGTCCTCTTGGAAAAGCAAATAAAAGGATTGGTCTTTAGATTCACATCATTTCATGCAAATGAAATTCTCCTATTATAATATTAATGATAAATTCATAACAATTGCCATCAACAAAGGCCATCATGAAAATAATTGAAGCTTATGTGCTAATATCTGTTGCAGGGGATGTGGAGGTAGAAAAAGTCTACAAAGATCTCAATATTGAACTACAAATGAAAAACATGCTTTAATACTTTAATGCAAAGGCAGGCATAAGGACAGAGAATAATACGGATCAAGCAACTACAGGCTAAAGGCTGATAGTCTAAATGGAAGCCTCAAGTCTATGTAATGCACAGTTTCTTCAGGAAAAGAGTCAGGAGATAGTGGATATTGGCAAGTACCTAGGAAAATATCACAAGAGTAAAATGATAAAACAGATGAGATAGCTAGTGTTTCTATAGCTTTAAGGTTTGCAAAGTACTTTGCCTATGTTATCTCATTAGATCCTCACAACAGCCCTGTGAGGTAGGTGCTGTTACTCCTATGTTTGATAATCATTTAAGAGTTAGGCCTAACTACACAGAATATAAAATAAGTTGAAGAATGATTCATTTAGTTAGATGGGTAGCCCTTGAACATTGGCTAGTTATTGCACAGAATATGAAGTGAGTCCAGAATTGTACTGAAGATTTGGCTAGATTGCAGTTGGGAAATTATATAGTGCTTTAATAGACCTCAAGCTACTCCTTAAAACAAATGGCTATTTTTTTTTAACACCAACATTTTTCTAGTCATGCGATGGTTCTGAAGTATGGAATACTAGTATTCGGAGAATTAAAATTTTTGGTCAGCATAGGGCAATGGAGGGTTTGCATGGTAGGAATGAATACGGTTTACCAATGAGTAGGTATTACCAATTAAGAATTACACAGAAGATGCATCCTCAAGAAAAAATGTATAATTGGCAAAGGAGGTAAAGCCAGTTCTGGTAAAGTTGAAGGATTAACCTACATGTTCCTTAACTTTAACACATAATGTCAAGAAAGCTAGAAAAATGTCCCTTTATGGAAACATTTGACAAAAGCAGCATAGGATATAAAGGCATAGGTAAATTACCATCTATACCACTGTAGTGGTGCCTTGCACATTAACATTAGATCCATTCATTGATTACCATGATATCAAATATCTACTTCTAAATTTTTCTTCTCAATATTGGTTTCAGTTGTATATCCTTAATATTTAAAATTCAGCCTTTTCAGTTTATACTATAGTCATAAATATAAACTTGTATTTGTTACCATATTAGTAATAGTATACTCTGTACCACTAAGATTACCAGACACAATACTTGTGGTGTTATTCTAAAATTCAAAGAGCTACTAAAATTAATTCAATATATTCAAATAGTATGAGTTAGGCTTTTACAACAAAAGCTAAAATTAAGTTTTTGGTCAAACTAATGGGTTTGACTTGGTTACTGTATGCCATAAACAATCTCCATTGAAATATCTTTAGTAATGTAAGACTAAAACCTCTACTAAAATTTATAGAACAGAAATTTCTAGAAACTAGGCAGCTAAGTAGCACTGGACTTAGAGTCCCAAAGAGCTCAGTTCAAATGCAGCCACAAATATATACTAGCTGCATGACCCTGGGAAATCCACTTAACCTTCCTCAGCCTCAGTTTCTTCATCTGTAAAATGGGGATAATAATAGCACCTATCTTTCACAGTTGTTGAGGATAAAATGAGATACTATTCTAAAGCACTTTGGAAACCTGAAAGTACTACATAAATGTTAGCTATGAATCCTTTATTATAGTAGCTTACTACATTCAGACTATTTCGAGATTAAACAAAAAACAGAACATTATTTTCATCTAAAAAACTATTTTGCCTTCTATGATTGGTCAATGATGCCAACCAAGTTAATGCATTGTTACTTGCCTAAAATAAGTGTTAATACTTTAGAAGCTTTTCATTCATAAGGAGTTCCAAGGTCATTAGCAAATGACTGTCCTTTGGATATAGTACAATTTATATGCACATATACATGGTAAATGTACACACACACACACACACACACACACACACATACATATATAATCTATTTATACACACACAAAGATGACTTAGTTATGGCTCAACTATATCTTCCACCCCCCAGAAAATAGAACAGGAACTTTCAGAGGACTTTAATTATTATTGAGCCACATAAATTGTAACTAAATATACAAAAGGAGAAAATGAGTAGATTGATGTCCTCCTTCCTCAGCTTCCCTCAGGGAAAAGAGAGGGAATAAAATGAGGAAGAGAGAATTTAGATACACTTGTGGATATGGCTAAGTTTAGAACAGCTTTTAAGTATCATGTATAAATTTCAGAGAATAAGGTAACATGATATTTATGAAGCCTATGCACTAATCAACTATTTTATCAAAAATTTGACATTTAAATATCTAACTTCAATTATTAGAGCTAGAAAGAATCTTAGTGATCCTATAGTAGAGATATATAAGCTAAATTAACTGATATTCTGGAATTTTTAAGCAATAATTTTAATATAAATTGTTTGTCATCCCTACTAGGCTAACCCAGTTAATAAAGGAAATAATGGCTTAAAAGTTTTCCTTGCAGGGGCAAATAAAGGAATTGACAGAGGTGATGTTATCACACATCTAGAAGCAACAGATATAATTTCATGGGACAGTTATCATTTCAAATTGCAGCGCTTATTATAAAAATTTGTAAAAATATCACTATGAAATGATTGCGGTGTATATGAAAACAGATTGCAGAGGATAAGGTAGCAGAAAAATTCAATGAAGAACCTTATAAATTTGTCTAAACTGAAACTATAACATGCATCCCAAAAGTCTTAGTGCAATTTTAAACTTTGAATAATTTCAGAACTATAAATGCTACAAATATGTAAAAAGATCATTTGAAAGTTTATATAAAGTTTCCTTACATTAATTAGTTATATGAATTTTGAATAATTGACTTTTCATTTTAATTTAACAAGTCAGGTAACTTTTCCATTATGCATTGCATGTCAACAATTTCTGAATGACACTTTCTCAGACAAATGAATCTGTAGGGGAGGTTCTTTTGCTTGGCTACCTTAGTCATCTGCTCTGTCTTCATTAGGTTTTTTCTTGTAGGGTCATGACAAAACTGTCATATACACATCAAAACTTCATTCTCTGGATGGTTTTAAAGTAAGAATTACAAATGTGTTCTTTTCAGTCACTGAGCAGCAGCTTCTGAAAGTTTTTACAAAATTAAAAAATAAACTAGAGTAATATATAGCACGAGATTATGGTTATGTTGAATTTTAATAAGAAACCTATTAATATTTTAAAAACAGACTTTCAAAACATCTTACAGTTTTTTGTATTTATACTTCTGAAGTTATTAAGGCTTAAAACTGTATTAAGACTTTTTGGGACAGTGTGTGTGTGTGTGTGTGTGTGTGTGTGTGTGTATACACTCTTATAACTCTGATTTCAACATGAAATGGTTTGTCCTGGGAGGTGGTGTCATTGGTGGTCTTAAGGTAGAGGTTGGGCTACCTTTTGGTATGTCATAGAAGAGAGTTGAATGATATCCGAGACATTTTTCTAACCATCAAAGTATGATTCTGTGGGTATAGGGGATGATAAAACGAATGTTAGAAAATACAGTTCAGGAGTCAGAAAGGAGAGGCAAAAGGCTTGCAGACTATACAGAAGGCTTTCAGCTTCATACCATAAGAATAGCTGGGAGGTGCTTGACTTGGGCAAGTGCCACATGATATCAAAAGATGGAGGTTTTGTCTTTGTCTCTTTTTGGGGCACTAATTACTGATGTGGAAATGACTAATTACTGATGTGGAAATATATTCCACAGTTGCCTCTATAGGGTCATACCAGCAACAAGTTGAGAACAAAAATCAAATTTATAACACTAGAAGTATAAAAATGGCAAAATTATTGCCTACAATTAAAAACAACCTGGGCTATATAATAAGCAAGCTGTTTCAGGAAATGGATGGGAGGGCATCAGACATAGATTATACTGATTTCTTAAATAAGTTTAGCTAATGTAAACCAATTGACATAATGAGATCAAAAAGAGCCTAAAACTA